CAGAATATAGGATGTGCTACTTTGGAAAGAGCTAGGAGCTTATCTCTGAAGTTCAGAATTGTACCCAGGCAAGGGATCACTCAGCTAGTCGCTATTTAAACAAACCACATGGAACAGCCAGAGCAAGCCTAGAGTGGGCTCATGGTGGAAAAACAAGGGCAACGTGCTTGGAATGACTGACATCCTACAGGGAAGAAGTGTTACCATGACAACAGGAGAGATTTCTGCCTATATTTTTGGTGTTAATCTCAAGAAGGAGAGGATACCGCCAAAAGAAAGCAGAGTGTTTGCCTATTAACTGTGCCTGGCTTCTCTGTCAGTGATATGAGCACCATCGTCTCGGATAAAAAACCAATTTTCAGCTTCATGGCATGGGTTAGCTTTGTTTCTGTTGGAAGTGAACTGTCATGACATTAAGTAGTTCTTAGCTCTTGTGTTACTCTTAAGTTACAGAAGAGTTTATGTTCCCATCCCAGAGGCTAGGGGAAAAGAGAGAGAAAGAGAAAAAGGGGAGGTGGGGGGGAGATGAGATGGGATGGAAACAAACAAAAAGAATGAATTAAAGATGGCACATTAGGGAAATAATATTGCCTAACCCACATGGCTGCTAGGAGGACCATGTCAATATTTGTAAAGCTCTTAGTGGTCACTGGCACTCAGCAAGGACTCAACAAATGTTCATTATTGTTATAATTGCTATTATTATTTTGAGAGGAATTTGTGTGGCTTAATCCATACCGCTCCTGTTCAAGTTTGCCCCATTCTGCTCCACCCCACAAACCATAAGCAACAAATGCAAAAAAAAAAAAGGTAAAATAAAATAAAGATGTTTTTCATGACTGTTAAGAAAGTCCAATCACAGTACAGCTATGTGTGAGCCCAGACTGAAGGGGTTTTTATGAAGTATTAGACACAGTATATGCCCCACGAACACAGGTTGCATTGAATTAAAATAAACGTCGGTCATAAAATATGCCCAGTTTCCGTTCTGGAGGCTTTGTGACTATTTTAATCTTTCCTTTTTCAGTTTGAGAAAGAACACTTTTCCATAATCATGAAACTATCACTCTGAATCATTCCTTAAAAGCACTATCTGGAGTGAGATAAGAGCATTCTTTATAAGTGGCTATAGTTGCAACAAACCATCTCCTTTAAAGCATTAGCACAGTGCAAAGGCTTTGAGAAGCAGTTTATGACGGCCTTTACAAAATCCTCAGAGGCAGACAGGCGACTGACCTTGAGGGGGAACCGCACTTCCCACCTGACAACGTCACAGACACGTCCTTTTATGAAGTAAATGCTGGCCTCTTGCTTTCCCACACAGATATATAAGCCACCGCTCTGCCACGCTAGCTTTAGGTCCCAAACTGTCATGAATATTTGTGCATAAGCAATCAAAAATTCCTAAGGCCGAGTTTCCACAAATAAGAATGGTGCTGTTCATCCCTTGGTCTGTCTGACAAATAGGGAGGGGAAATGGGTAGGCCGAGGTATTCAGGTTTCTCCTCTTATTTCATGTAGGTACTTTGAACTGGTCATTCCCAGTGGTGATAGAGACAATTGTGATGTGTTCTCTTTTTGTTTAAGAGTATAAAATTCTTGAATTAATTTCTTAAAAATGATAAGGGGAGCAAAGTATCTGTGAATGTATTGGAAGATGCCTTCGTAGAAACCCAGCACAGGTGACCAAGGCCAGATTGTCATCATTCAGGAGAGAAATCTGGAATGACTACAATCAGGAAATGTGTTCCACTATGCAAGAGTCAAAGACGCCACCATCATGACAAGTGTCCACTTATGGCTATCTGAGGGCACCAAGCAAACATCAAACATTGGTGGGTACAAAGAGAGAGGACAGAAAGCTACTTTAATCAATCTCTTCATACAAAGTTAACAGTCAAAAGGCTCTGAAAACTAATCTGACAAAGACATAAATAACAAAAACTCAGTCGAAGAAATCTTGATACCTAATATAGTTTTTTTTACCTTGGTAACTGTGCAAAGGGTTATTTGAATATTCATTTAAGTGCAAATACTTCAAAACTACTTCTGAGATTAAGGAAGAAAGGCTTTAGACCCAGTAAATCATCACTCTCATAGATGTTAAACACTTTGTATTTAAATAGGCAGATAATTTGTGGAAAACGTATCTAAAGGAAGTCCTTAATGTCCTATCTGTCATTGTTGTCATTAGGTGAAATAATAAAAATCTTTTCCTCTAGCAATTGTTGAAAACGCTGTAGTAAAATTTCTCCCAGTCAGTGCTAATGGAAGAATAAAAGCATCCAACTGCCATTAGTACTGATGCTAAAGTAGTTCAAGTAACATTGTCTGTGTAATGTAGTTATTAAAGTCAGGCTGTCTTTGTGCAGAGCTATTAAACTCACTGATAAATTCAGGGCCAACAATTGATCTGACTTTTTCCTCTCTAATCTGTCCAGCTCTCTGACTAAAGAGACCTAATCAACTAAGCATCTCAGAATCATACACACACAGCAACGGTGTCATCAGCCAATATTTAATCTTCCATTAAAAAAATCAGCAAATAGGCCAAATTAAGAAATGTATTAATAATTGGAATATAAATCTATTAAAATGCTGGGGGGGGGTAAGCAATCTCCAGGAACATGAATGAGAAAAAGTAGCCCTTGGCGCGTGCACACACACACACACACACACAAAGCAAGCAACTGTGGGTGGAAAAGGTTAAGATGCAGGCTTCCTGCATTGGTCCTGATTTCCCATCTATCTACAGAGGCCATTTAATTAATTGCCTGCATCCTTCATTTGACTGGTGTGGGTGGAATTCTTAAAGACGAGAGTTTTTTAAAAGTGGAAAACATATGGAAAAAAGAAGGAAAAGAGAAAATATTTTACATCTTGTATAACTGCTTAATAGGCAGGGGGAAATGAAGGTAAGTTTTGCTGACATTTTCCTTTACTTATAACAAGAAGACACAGCATAGTGGTATAATGGCAGAAATAAGCCCCCAAAATTATGAAAGCAAAACTAGTTTGTCCCAGGGCTAACAAAGTAGATTTATCAATAGATTGCCTTTACTGTTAGAATATTCTCATCCATACTTCAGGTACTCCTAACTTTCCTGTACAATTGAACGAATGAACAAATATAACTCTGTCATGGATTCACACAGAGGAGAAGATAACCCTCACAAGAAAATGCACAAGAAGAAAATAAACATCCTTTGTTTTATGGCTAGGAATAAAATTTATGTTCTTTACATTCACTGGAGGAAGATGAATGCATTTGGAGTCTAAATAGTACTATCAGTGTGAAATCAGATTTAAATCCCTTTCTCGAGACAGAAATAATTTGTAAAATATTTCCAAGGGTACAGTACACGCCTTTGTCTGTTAGTTTGTGCACAGTTGAGTGCATAAGCATGTGTGAGTGTGAGTGGCTTTATGAATTCCTGTTGGTGGGTTCAGAGTGCTTAAGGCTATATCTGATTATAGGACCTCATCTGTATAAGGAAATTAAATATTAAAACACTACTTTGAAATAACATTAAGGATCTGACACAGTGCAATAAAAGCCAGTAATCTGACTACTAAAGAAATTCAACAAATCTCTACCACCTCTTCTAATTGAATCATTGCAAATTTAAAATGGGGAACGATTTGCTTTATGCTACTGGCTCAAATTTGTTTGCCTTTGATGTCCGTTTATTTTGTTCCTTTTGTACTATTAAAATAGGTTTCCATATACTTAACTTGCCTCTTTTCTTCCTTTATAAAATAGAAAACAAGCTTGGAAAGCATATAATATCAGTTCATTACTTAGGCAATCTCTCTGGAAAATGGGAGCTATATAGAAGTGTTTGTGCCATCATATACATGTAGTTTTCCTTGAAAATGTCTAATCTTCCTGATACCATGAATCAATTCCTAGTAGAAGCTCCGGTCTTTTGATTAAACACACTGAAGTGCATTTCAAAGAGGATATTATATAATCATTAGATGCTAATAGCATTCTAGGAACTGCTTCAGTTAATCACTCAAACTATCCAGGCATATGGTAACCCATCCTGAAATAAATGTCTCATCTAAAATAATAGAAAATATACATATAAGGAAACCACTTTTCAAAAAAAAAATCTTGACATAGAGTATTTATGATATATACACTTGCCAGTGTCATATTCTGAACATACCTGTCTCAATCATGAATCTATAAAGCAAAAGTCAAATAACATGAAAAACTGTATTTTTCTATTGGGTTTTTTAAATATGTTCCTCATTTGGGACTCCCCATATTGTAGAATGGTTGAATCCAAAATTTTTATAACCAAGGTAAAAATCTCTGAAAACCAGGATTGAGAGTGAGAAGCAAATAGTCTTTTACCCAAGACAAGACAGAATCATTCCTCTGGGACATCAACACAATAGACTTTTTTTTTTTTTCCTGCATTGAGAGCCAGAGATCCCATATAAAACAAAAACAGAATTGCTTTTAGGTTACAGTACATAAAAGAACATCAGTGGTTCAGGGACAGTTATAACTAGTTATAAAACCAGATTTTAAATTCGAGGTTACTGACAGATTATAAAATGTTAACAGCTGGATAAACTGTAAAATATGCGTTATCTACACATGAAAATGTTACAGTTTATAAATGCTAAAATACTGTGTCTATTGGCATTTTAGTGAAATCTTTCCCTGATCCTCATTTCTTCACTGGGTGGGAAAGAAAAAGAAAAAGAAAAAGAAAAAACCTGCTCTGCTGAGCTTCTTATTTCTCCCCAAACAGATGCTCTAAACCAACCAAACCAAAATGCTCCTTTATTGTCCTAGTGGTAGATATTGACCTATTTGCATACCCAGCAACTGAAAGTAGGTAAGTTTTTGTCCAATCAGTGATCCCCTCTGCTCATCAGGTAAATACCTGGCTCTTTCAGCTTTGCAGGTGTTTCCCACACAGTGATACAGCAAAGGGTCTTTTTTCTTTTCTTTCTTTCTCTCTCTCTCTCTTTTTTTCCTGGAAAGAAAAAGGAAAAGAAGGAAGGAAGGAAGGAAAGTGTCATGGAAGAGGAGGGGCTCCTCTGGTGTTGGCAGTCGTTCCTCCAGGCCCTCTCTGGGCCCTGGCCCCGCCAAATATCATGGCGTGATGCTTACATAGGTTTGGTTAAGTCCTGTTTTCTGCAAAGGCAAGTAAAGGTGACTTCCAAGTGTTCAGTGCATCAAAGGAAAAAAGAAAAAAGTGATTTTTTTTAAAGGTAAAAAACTAAAAGTGCTTGAAAATAATTCTCAGGGAACTTATCTGGAGAGGAGAATCCCACGTGTAGCACCCCCTCTCTGGTGTATCCTGCCCCTGCTGGCGGCACAGAGACCTCCTCGGTCTAGGCTCTGGAGCTGGGATGGTCCTAAAAGCTTTTCTTTAGGAGAAGCAAAACTTATTTGAGTGGTTTCCAGGGAAAGTTGTATTCCTTGACATGTGGTCCATCCACCTTGGCTTCGGAGACCTCACAACTTTTTGGCACTGTCATGGCACGCCGCTGCCCGGAGGGTGGTCCCAGCCAAACCCCGGTTGCTGACCCTGCGGACCAGCACTTTGGAAACTGGGATTTTCGTTCTGGGCATCTCACTCCTGACTGGTTGCTGGTGCACTACGGGATGGCTGGATGGAAGGTTCGCGAGATGCTTGATGCTGATAGGGATTTTAGAGTCCTTCAGCAAACTCCCTGGTGTTCGCAGTGGACAGGTGATGGTGCCTGGAGACACAGGCTTTAACCGGGACAAGCAGGACGTCTCCTCGTTGGCGGGAACGACCGCCGGGCTTCCATCCGGATCTGCGTAGAGATCGTAGAGCGCGTCCCCGCTGTAGCTATCCCGGGGGACGCCCGCCTTTTTGCCGCTGCCCGCGCTGTCTTCCTCCGGGCCCGGAGTGGTGGAATCCCAGTAGCCCTCGTCACTATTGGGGATGCCTTCCTGCTGCTCCTTCTCGGGCTGTTTAGGTTCCTCCTTGGGATGGAGCTCGATGGGAATCCGGTTGAGCCTCCTGTGCTTGCCCAAGGACACGTCCTTGGCCCCTTCCGCACACCTGGCGTCTTTGGACGTCTCGCCCACCACCTTGGTTTCCAGGGCTGCCGCAGCCTTGGCCGCTCCCTCTTGGGGCCCTGGTCCTTGGTCCTCAGTCTGGGAAAGCATGTCCCAGAATTCCTGGAGATAGGTGTCGTCCAGCTCCTCCGGGCTCGCCATCTCCTCCCCTCCTCCTTGGTAGGCCACCACGCCGGGGTTCTTTTTAGACAGAACTGGTTTGCCTGGCCCGGGGGCATGCTTGTCACAGCTGGGACCTGCCTCGTCCTCTTGGTCTGCAATAATATCTCCACAGCCTGTAAGAGAGTCAAAGCTTTTCAGTGAAGTCACGTCAGAAAACATCAAACAAATACGATCGGCCGATGGGTCTGAGGGTGGATCAACAGAGGAAGGGTCAGGGACGGCCGCCGCTCGGCCGCTGCCGCATTCCGAGTCGACAAGGGGGACGGTCTTTACCGGAACGTCACCTGTCCTGGAGGCATCCTCGGCCGTCTGGACCTCCCCAGCACCCAGCTCTGGGGGTGCCCGGGGCTTCTCGGCGCGCCGATGCCCCGCGGCGTCCTCTCCCCGGGCGCTTTCGGCCTTAGGGACCCCGGGGCTGTGGGCCTCTCGGCGGTCCGGCACGTGGGCGCGATCGGCGGAGCCCGGCCCCGGCTCTCCCCCTCCGAGCTCACCTGCTGGGTCTCGCGGCGCGTCCCTGCTGGGCTTCTCCGGCTCGCCGGCGGGTCCGGGCGTTTCCTCCTTGACGCACTCCAGGCTGGCGGTGAGCGAGCCCGGCAGAATGAGGCCGCCCGGGGCCCCCGCGCGCTCGCCCTTCGCCTCCGCCTTGGCCCGCTTGTCCTTCTTGTGCCAGCGCATGCTGCTGAAGAGCCCCTTCAGCCCTCTCTTTTGTTTGCCGCCAGCCTTGCTCGCGTCCGCCGGCTCGCCCTTGCCGTTCTCCGATCGCCCGTTCTTCTTCAACAGGGAGAAGAAGCTGTGCGACTTCGCCACCGAGCTGTTGGCCAGGGAGCCCACGCCGGTCCCGGCCGCCCTGGGGGGACCCGGGTTCGGCCGCCCCCCGCTGCGGCCACCCCCGCCGCCGCCCCCGCTGTCGCCCCCGCCGCGTGGCTCCTCCTTCTTGCTGCTCTCCAGCACCACCACCTCCGCTAAGCCGTCGTGGGTCCGGCTCCTCACCATGCCCGTCGGACCCGAGCCTTTCCCATCCCCTTTGTTTTTGACCCCAAAAATGCTGGGCATGGTGCCACCCGATTTCCTCTTCTTGAATAATTTGAAAGCGGCTTTATTAATCTTCCCCGACGGCTGCTCGGCGGCCGGCGTTTCGGCAGCACAATCACAATGCAAGTCCATGTCTGCCGCGAGGGTCCGGGCCCCGGCCTCCTCCTTCTTCCTGCAGACCCCCGCGGACGCGCGATCGCCGCCGCCGCCGCCGCCGCCGCCGCCGCCGCCGCCGCCGCCGCGCTCGCTGACAGCCTCGCCGCCGCCGCCGCCGCCGCAGCTCCTGCTTGTCTCCATGGAAACCGAGCGGGCTAAGCAGCTTTCGTCAGCCGTGGGCTCGCGCCAGGCCACTGTCATCCGTATTCTAAATCAACCTGAGCCACTCTTGCTGCTGCCGCCGCCACCGCCGCCGCTGCAGCAAAAGAAACACACAGAAAAGACCATCTCCCCTCCCGCCAAGGGCTTATATAATACCCTAACCCACTTCGGATCCTACTTGGCTTTGTGCTGCATAGTTTGTGTGTGTGTGTGTGTGTGTGTGTGTGTGTGTGTGTGTGTGTGTGTGTGTGTGGCAAGAGCAGGCAACAGAGCCTCGAGTCGACTGCAGAAATTAGAGTCGCCTTTATGGAATTCAGATTCCATCCAATCTTACCCACCTTCGGACTCTTCCTCTAGATAGGCTCTTTCCAGAAGCCCAATCGTGGATCACAAGATACCCCCAAAATGGACAAAGAAATTCAACCCAATACACGATGGTTATTCCTCTGAGCGCCTATCCTGGACTTCATGAGTCTTTATGTCTTTCCCGAGCCTTTCATGTCTGTCCTTATCATTTGGGCACCAAGCCCAGCAGACATGGAGTGTGCCTGTTTACATCTGTGTCTTGTCCACTGCTGAGCACAATCTCGGGGTGGATGTTGAATCTTTACTAATGCGGTTCTGATTCTTGTGCAAAAACACCAGCCATCAGTCGAATACCAATTAGCAACTCTCTGCAAGGAAAGTGCAACAGTTCTGTAAGGTGGAAGTTGACTGGTCCTTAGGGACAAGCCTGGCTTTTATCCCAGACTCCAGCTCCTGGGGCTCAGGTCACAGAAGCCACTGCCTAGCCTGCATTTGGTCACAATGGATGAGTGGAGGGTGGAGGACACAGTTTGAGAATCTCCCCAGGTGGTCCTTGGAGTCCAGGGTCTGCCTTCTTCTTTTCCATTAGGCAGGACATGGGCTTTACTCCTGCCCCCCACTGCTGTCACCCCCTACCCCCTTCACTATCCCCCCAGGGCTTCCTGCAGCCCCCTTCCCCTATGGAACATGGAAAAGCCTGGCAGGATGCTGAGTGCCCAGGAGTCTCTGCAGCTGCTCTGACCCACATAATCTGGGGAAAATGGAAACCTTGTCCCAGGGAACATCCCAATCTGGGGATCTTTTCTGTAATCTGACTTCGAAGGTGACTGCTAATATTGTAACCTTGACACCTAAATTCCTGATCCTAACTGAAGGCTTATTACCAATAAAAGAAGAAATTTGGAGAAACACATATATATATTATATATGTATAATATATATATGTTTAATACTTAATAATATGTGATAAAGATGTAATATTAACATATCATTTATTTTATTCATAAATATTATTTAGCAATATGTGATATTTACATACATGTGAATTTCCGTCTTTTCCCTAATCATCTCCAGCTTCATTTTTTATGAGCTACTTGCATTATACCCAGAACTTCCATTCTTTCTGGGTTGAAGTTGGAGTTTTACTAATAACATGTTGGCCAAGGCAGGTCCTATAGCATGGAACACAGTTGGTTTGAATTTAGGCCTGGGGGTTGTTAGCTGTATACTTGCCCTTTTCTGTTGATTTTTATCAAGAACATTGTTTTATAAAATTTAAAAAATTAGGAGTTTGGATTCAGGAGAGGTTTTCATTCTCAGCATTTTTTTTAAAAGATTTATTTATTTATTTTAGAGAGAGCATATGAGTGGGAATAGGGGCAGAGGGAAAAGGGACAGAATCTTGAGCAGACTGCCTGCTGAGCTTGCAGTCCAACTTGGGGCTTGATCCCACGACCCTGAGACCATGACCCAGAGACCATGACCTGATACGAAACCAAGAGTTGGATACTCAACCAACGGAGCCACCCAGGCACCCCCATTCTCAGCATTTGAATCTGACCAGGTCTTTGCCACTATCGGCACACGTGTCCCCAGGACAGGGTGTAAAACTGAGACCAGAGAGGCTTTTGCCAGTTCTAACTGACCGCTTGCCCTGATGAATCAGGGTCCTCATTGTTGAGGGGAGGGAAGAGGTATGAAGAACTCTAAAGAGAAATGCATTGTTATTTCTTCACAAGCTTTTAAAGGCAGTCGAAAATCTTGTTCAGTTCTTTCACACACACATACAGTAGCTCTGATTGGTGGGTTACTACCTAACTGTATCAGTCTGAAAGAGTTTATGACAGGAAACAGGAAAAAGTGAAGTAGCCTGTAAAAAGTCTCCCCTTCTCCATACCTGAGCCTGATGTTGGGACAAGGTGGACCGCTTATTCTGCAGAGCGCTGGCCTATCAGGACAGGCTGGTGTGAGTCTCATTTACATGACAGTCCTTGCCCCCCCACCCCCACCCCCACCCCACTCATGGAAACCTGTAGCCAGAATTTTGGGCTGGGTATCATTCCTTTGAGATACAGACCTCAAACAAAGAGAAAGGGACAAAGCAGTCTTCAGTCTGGGGAAGTTGCTATGATGGCGAGTCCCTGGCCCTGAGGCAGAAGAAAACAGGGACAATCCAAATCATCCTCATCCGAAGGCCCCGGAGCAAGGGGAGCTTTAGAAGCCATGGTGTGAATGGGGACCTTCAAATATTCTCCGACCCAAGAGCCTTGTTTTGGGGACTATCAGAAAAAGGAGAGTGTGGCCAGCCTATAGGGATCTTACCAGAAAAATCACACACATGGTGGGAGAGCACCTCCTTCCCAGGGCCCAGGAGCCAGCGAGGGAGGCGGATGGTTAGAGTTCTAGCCCAACTGCTGGGTGGCAGATTGAAGCCAAAGGCCATTGTTATGAACCGTCTCAAGGGTTTACTCACACCTTAAATCGCTCTTCACAGTCAAGAGTCAGGGAAGCAAAATCTGTATTTGCACAAAATGGTGACTTTTGTCCCTGAAAGATAGATCATGACAGTGAAGATAATTTTACCAGTGAGGATAATTTTATCCCTGTTTGGGGTTATAGTTTCCTCTTTCATTCTTTCTCCCCTACTCCACTATGGCCCCCAACCACTTCCCAAAGCTACCATTTGAGAGAGCAAACAGAAAATTAGAGTAGAAAGGAGCTGAGGATAAATGTTTCAGAAAAACGCTGTTTCAGAATGATAGGATGGTTTGCAAATGCGAACAGCAAGCGGGTTTTGCTGGAGACATGTGCATGCTTTTCTTTTTTGGCACAAGGGAGTGTTTATTATTCAGTCAGGGCTTTTCTCTCTGGGTAACGAGCATCTTTGGAGGAGGATAATCAAAACAAGAAAAAAAGATAAGAGAAACACAGGAGGAATCATTTGAGAGCTTACCATCATCTTCATCGTCAACATCATCATCATCATCATCATCATCAATTCCCTTTTCAGGGTGTCTTCTGACCAGCCTAGCTCCAGTCTGTGTCCCAAGCTTATTGGGTGGCATTTTCTATCTGAGGGGAACCACCCAGAACATTCTACAGAAAAGGCCGGGAGAGGAGCTACCCTTCAAGCCAGGGAGCAGCTGCTACTGTGGACCTCCCCTTGTCACAGCATTCCCATTAAGGAGGATGCTGGCTTTACCTTACATTTGCCTACGGTCTTTAAAGGGATAATGCTTAGCCAATGACATTTGGAAATGATACTTGAACTGGGACCAACACCTTCTGTCTCCAGACCACTTAGCCTGCTCTGGACCCCAGCCCAATTGGCCATGTTGCCTTCCCACTCTTGTCCATCTCCACCCCCACCCCACCCCACCATGATTATCCTCTAGGGCAAGCTGAGTGAAGACCCTCAAATGTCTTTGTTTGAGGACCATCAGGAGGAGCTCCAGCTTTGCCAACCTTGACCCTCATCCTGCAGTTGACTCTGTCCTTGTGGCCAAGGTCTATCCTTGCCCTCCAAGGGCCTCACACAAGCTGAGACAACAAGGTAAAGTGCACAGTTGCCAGGGGAGAGATGTGTGAATGCCCCTTGCCAGGGAGCCCGGCCCAGGGGTCCATGCTACTGACATTTTGCTGTACCCTCCTTTCTGCGAAGAGAGCTCTAGGCGAGCGCTTGGCAGAAGAGGACTAGAGAGGTCTGAGCACCAGTCAGCCAAGGCTAGACTGAAGTTCTTACGTTCTTATTTGCATATTTTGATTCCTGATCTGTCCTGAACATCGGCTTTCAGGGTGGGGTAATAGCTGTTCTGGGTATATGCTTACACAGAGGAGAAATTCTTTTCTAATTAGTAACATGCACTGTAAAAAGTGCCCCCAATTCGTCATTTTCCACATCAACCCTGGAGCACAGCTGAGGTGGCTGAGGGGAAAGAGCTCCTCTCAAGAGGAGACAGAAGCCCACCTGGGCTCTGGAATGGTCAGGAAGCTCGGCGGGGGGGGGGAGGTGTTCTGGGTTCTGCAGGTCACCACTCATAAGGTGTCACCCTGGCCCAGCCCCTGCCGGTTTATACCTGGATTGTAGAGCAAGAGGGTGTGAAGAAAAGACCAAACAAAAGCAAAATGAGCACTTGTCTCTAATGTCGGGGGTTCTCGGGGGGCACAGGCCATGCAGAAGCTGCCAATGCTGGTATCGGGGTAGCTCCCGTGCCTCTCTCTTAGCTTCTGGTTCTTTCTGGCCATCATTGGCATCCCTTGGGGCCCCTTCCAGCTGTCAGTGCCAAGGTGGGTGCAAAGAAGCCAAAACCAGGCAGAATTTTCTCCCTCCGGTGTCTGTGTCTCCTCTCTTTTTATGAGAGCACCAGTCACACGGCACCATGGGCCCACCCCACTCCAGCATCACTTCATCTTAATTTTACATCCTTGTCACAATGGCAAAGATCTTATTTCCAAATAAGGTCACATTCGCAGGTATCCCAGGGTTAGGATGTTAATGTAGCTTTGGGGGCCACAGTTCAACCCATAACAAGCAGCACGGCCAGCGGTGGTGACAGCATCCAC